GTGAAAGTATGAAGTATTCTTGCGCTACCGTCTGCAACCTGTGTTTGGTAGTCACTTGTCATGCATTCATATGTAAACATTGCTTCGCAGAGTCTGTGCGGACTCATTCGCACTGTCCACTGCCACAATTGACGTTTGGTGAAGGAATGGTATACAAGTCGAGAAGTCGAGAAGTGTACCGAGTTGTGGCAAGCGCCTCGGCTTGGGATCAGGCTTTGGGGTTGTGCCGGCACCTCGAACATCCGAAAAGCGCTGCAACAACATCAGCAGCCAATGTCACCAGCAACAGCTTTAGTTCGAAATGCATCTGCTGTAGTCGGGAGAGACCTGCGTCCTCAAGGCCCGAGATCCACTCGTGTCGCGAAATTGGCACTCCAGGTTTCAGGATGTGCATTGGCTCTGGAACTTGCATCGGCTCGCTTAGGACAAACGATGCTGATGCGGGCGGCGTAAAGTGAGCAAAGGGATGCCCAACTCTAAGTGAGCTTGCAAGAAGACGACGGTGTGAACAACGTGCCACATGAATAATATGCCACACTCCGATGGGAGTAAGCTGCATTTGGGGGCCTCGGAAACTAACAATCCCAAGTTTCTGAACCTCTCTATGTGGCCATCGAACTTCACTTCCCTTTGCGTCCCGGCGACGTAGGAGATTCTTGTTGCGCCAGAGGCCTACCAGCGAACCCATCTGCAGGTGCTGAGGCACCTGGAGTACATGTGTCTTGAGAAATCTCGCAACACGCCGAAAGGATTGGAAATGTCAGGATCGTGCGTTCTCGGGGTTAGGGTTAGGGCAAACATTACCCTGAGCATCCAGTATCGCTGGTTGTTAATAGGCACACCTGCAAGAGCTCGAAAGCCATGGATGAGCTGGAAGTGTCCGCCGGCACTCTGTCCTTGCCAGGGTTCTGTAGATGCGGAATGTGGCTTTGCTTGTGCGAACTCTTGTTGCGCGTCTATGCTCCCTTCTCTTCCGTACCATTTTAACGAGCCAGCTAGTAAATCCAAAACAGAAGCCAACACTTTCTTCGCACTGACCTATGTGCAGGCCCAGCGTCTGGCGTTCCGGTCACGCCATCGAAAAGCTTCTGAGCGGCAGAACGCAGATCAGCGGACGCTTGTTGTGGTTCTGAGTACATATACTGTACAACACGCATACACTTGATCTGTACGTGTAGCTTTAGATATATATGGACACATATCTACTTACATATCCTTTCGTGGCTTGTCACATTGTCGCCTGCATGAAAGACTGCAGGTGGAGAAACCCACCTGCTACGTAGGACCTAGGAACTTGGGAAACATGCACACACACACACACACAATTTTGCAGCCTCGTAAAAAATCGTCTATATCTGTTCGAATGCACGCAGGACAATCCTCCGTGTTTCGCTTTGTGGGAAATCCACGCATCCGGTCCTAGCGACAGCGACCTCAGAGCACTGAGAGGTCCTAATATGCTACACTCCGTCGGGACCTTTCAAGTGTGGGAGCAGTCTGGAACTAACTGTCTTGCAATTGCGTGCGATAACAACTCCACATACTCCTCGACAGTCAGAGGTTCCCACAAAAATCCTTTGTTCCCTGATTAGCGACGCAGTCCCCTTGTGCTGGCCACTGACCCCCTCCTCTCCCACGCCTCCTTCCCCAAGGCCAGCTGGTGAAGTTTCGTGTATTTCAGCAGATTTGGGTTGTGGGAGCCCTCCGCCCTGCCCTCCCCTCCGCTTCTTTAAACTTCCGCCTCTTTGCTTGGTTTTGTTTTCTGCGCTCCAAGTGACGGCTTCGGTCTCAGCAGCCTTTGTTGACTGGCGGCCGGGCCGAGGCAGACGACGCAGCGTTTATGATCATGCGACACGCAATATTCACGCACCTGCACACACATGTATGCTATCAGTCGCCAGTCTCCACGACCTCTCGCTCTCTCTGTCTTTCTCTCTGTCCTTCTGCGGGCTTGAGGAGAAGGTTGTGCCCCTCCACCCCTGCGTTCCGGGTGCACCCTTTTAGGAGCGGAGAGAACGGCAATAAAGGACGTCTAGGCTTGCGGCCCTTGCTACGGGTTCGGCCAACAAGGTTCGGATGCTTTTATCTTTTATCTGGTGCCCCGCTTGTCAACAAACCAGCCAAGCACAGCACGGTACACATGCCCTTGTGGGCTTCGCTGTGCTCGAGAAACCCCGCCTGTCCTGCCTCAGCCCTGCCTTCAGCCCCCTCTCTCTCTCTCTCTCTTCTTCTCCCTCTTCTTCTTCTTCTTCTACCGGGCATGAGGGAGTCGGGAAGGTGACCCTACCCCTCGCGCGCATGGCGCGCCCTTGAGTCCACAGCTTCACGTCGGCGTGAAACAACTGAAAACAGGAACCAGTGGTAGCAGTACATACCCGGGAGAGTCATGCCCCCCGCCGTACGCAACACAACAACGGGTTCTACTGGTTCCCCTCTCTCTCTCTTCTTCTTCTTCTTCTTCTTCTTCTGCTTCTTCTTCTTCTTCTTCATAGAGCTGCCCAGGCACTAAGGCTCGCCCCTGATGGGCTTTCGAGGGGTGTGATTTTTGGATACGACGAGAACGGAAGGTTGCAATCACGTGGCATAACATCATATTTCAGCTCTCGCGCTCTCTCTCTCTCTCTCTCACTCACTCACTCACTCACTCTCTCTCTCTCTCTCTCTACCTCCCTCTCCCTGAGTCCCAAGCATTCGCGTTTTTGAAGCGGACGTAACGAGCCCGCGTGTGTGAGTACAGGCCGAAGAGGCCGTCCTCTGCTGATACCGCCTCGGCAGCTGCGAAGACAGATTCTTGAAGAAGAGACCTTTTGCAGGAAGCAAGTCAAGAAATCTGAGCCGGATTGGCGGACGCCTGTACTGGCATTGTGAAGCAACCGCTGAATCCGTCCGTCGTTGCATCTGATGTATCCGTCTACGGGTCTCATTCTTATATACCCTTTGGAACTATATCGCTTGGTCATTGCGAGATCCACGTGGGCCTGTTGTGGTTTACATCGGGTGACTCTCTGGTTGAGAAACAAAAATCAGCAGATGCCGTGCATTGCTCCCCAACACAATGCCAATAGCTTTCGCCTTAATGTTTTGAAACCCGAAAAAGGCAAAAGAACTCACGCGGAAGAAGCGAGCCTTCTTTTGGGGGCTCACATTGCAAGCGAGGTAAATCGAAACCAAAACGGCTAGAATCGCAAGCAGCGCGCGTATTTCGAGAACTTCAATGCAAGCTTCTAAGCTTCCTGAACGCTGCTGCTGCATGCCCTTCACCACTAGTGTGAGCCAGATCACCTACAAATCTTGGACACAACACCCTCCAAAAATCTCAGAAAGCTTCAACCAGCAAAGAGCAATTTGGGCACCTTGAATTTGCTCTCGCTGGGCGGAGTGCTGGTCGATGCCATGTGCGCACCTGGCACACGCCCATCTTAAGCTGCGCTGTGTGGAGGGTTCCGCATCCTGTCCGACAAGAACAGAACGCACAATGCCTGAGGAATGAAATTGCCTCCTAAACCCTAAACCCTAAACCCTGAACCCTGAACCCTAATTAAACCCGAAACCCTAAACCCTAAACCCTAAACCCAGTAAGCATGCGGGAATCGCTGCACGAAACCGCGTGGGTGCTGGTCATCCTGCGCCCAACTTACAAGGGAAGGCTTCCAGAAGGTTGAATTCGTACCTACCCAACCTCTCAACACTCCTGTTTTCTTTCTTTGAGAGGGGGGGGGGGGGAGGAGCGGGGATTGCAAATCGGATGCAAGCTTTTTGCTTTTAGATTTGTCTCGCTACCGAGCCACAAAAATCGGCGAACATTCTAGACATCCCACCAAATGGACCCCAAAAAGCAGCGGCAAACGCATGGACTAACGGAAAATTTGGGAGAAGAACGAAAAAGCCACTTATCAACCCTTTACCGTTGTGATCTTGCAGGATGGCAAAGGCAGCCTTCGCAGATTTGTTTTGGATTGTTTGTGGCTGCGCTTAATTTCGATACATCGATGTTTTCTGGTGTACCCGGTAACCAATGCTTTTTGGGAAGTGATATAACGTATCACCCCCGCTGTAGCAATATGATCACAACATAAAGGGTTGTGAATCCAGGAAGGCCTGGGCGTACAGTTCTTCATGCTTTCTGCATGTTCCTGCCTTCTGCCGTCCTGTCCTCGCCGTTTATGGGGCAAGGGCGAGAGGCATTCAGCAACGTAAGACTTATAGAGCGGCGCGTCCTGAGGTAGCAGTTGTACCTCTGGCTGTGCAGCGCAATGAGATAATCTCCCGCGTCCACGACCTCAAAGCAGAATTGGGTCCAGGGGCCCAGTGCCTAAACCTGCTGCTCTGAATCGACGCGAACCTCTCTCTGCATCTTCAGCAAATTCAGCAAAGCCACAGTGAAGCGCTCCTGCATCCAATCCATGGTCACGTCTTTGGGAAGCCTGGCGGCATGCAAAACCTTTACAAGGCTGACCGCTTAGGCAAACTTTCGGTCCCCCCCCCCCCCCCCCTTCTTGTCCCCCACGCGGAGAATACTAAATATACAGTCAGGGGACTTGTACCCTCAGAAAGCTTCAGCCAGTCTAGGCCAACCTAGGCCCGGAAACTCAAATATGAACTGCCAAGATTCCCTGCGATCGAGTCGATTGTCCGGCTTGGTCGGCTACCTGACGCTCCACCGCCGAAAGGGAAAGGGGTGAAAGGGGAGGAAAAGGGAGGAGGCGAGGGCCAAGGCGAGGAGAAGCCTCGAGGTTGCGGGGATACCCAGCAGTCGCTTCTGGGGGCTTGAAACTGTGTTTAAGGAGACCCGGATGCTTGTCAGCTTCTTCGAGATTGATGCTGCAGGAGCCCCTGAGTGAATATCCCGCCAGAAATCAGAGTCGAGCAGCGAATGAAGCGCTTGAATTTGGGGTTCCGGACCACGACCGTCGAACCTATCTGCACGCCACCTCGAGCGCTTGGGACTTAGGGATGTTGCGCGTGACTTGAAACGAGGCGACTCTGAAATATGCATAATGCTAATGACATGGCAGATGGCTTCCATGGTGCATCGTGGGGTCGTAGCAGTAGTCCCACTTTGACTTGCCAGATCCTGAGCATCCTGGAACGGCCTCAAGAGCATTCCGCTGGAAGCACTTCAGGCTGCCTTCGCAATCTGAGTCTTTGTCGCAATCTCCAGCACATCTGGGCATGTTCGGAAAACCATGCACACCAGGGCTGCTGTCCAATGGCGGTGGCAGAGCATCGACTGGGTCATAGCAGTAATCCCAATCTTTTGTGCCGACGCCATTGCACCCCGGGACAGCACTGAAGCCGTCTCTTTGCCAGCACTTGAGATTTCCCGCACAATCTGAATCCTTGTCGCAGTCACCAGCACATTTCGGCATGCTTGAAGAACCATCTGCGCCCCGGCTGCTGTCCAAGCCATAGGGGTCGTAGCAATAATCCCAATCTTTTTTGCCCGATCCTGAGCACCCAGGAACCGTCGTAAAGCCATTCCTCTGGAAGCACTTCAGACTGCCCTCGCAATCTGAGTCTTTGTCGCACTCTCCGGCACACCTGGGCATGTTCGGAGAACCATCCACACCGCGGGTGCTGTCCAAGGATTCCGGGTCGTAGCAGTAGTCCCAACCTGAAATCCCCTCTCCCCGGCACCCGGGAACAGCTTCGACACCATTCCGCTGGAAACATCGCAAACCTACCGCGCAGTCTGAAGAGGTGTCGCAATCGCCGGTACATTTGGGCATGTTCGGAAAAGCATCCTCGCCGCCCTTGTTGTCCAGTAGCGGATCACCTGCCAGCTCATTGCTTGCACCCCTGGGCAATAGCCAAAGGTAGCACATGTTAACAGAATTCATGGAAGCAGCCCCGACCCATTCAGAGCTCTCTGCAGCTCGAGAGAACCACAATGGGACAGCTTCTGGGCACTTCTGCCTCTGCAACCTTCCGGAAAAAACACAGAAACAACAGAACGGAGCCAAGCTGCCCTCCTTCTTCGCTTCGACCACGTAGGCTTTGGCGAGGTCGACCATGCGGTCACGGTCAGCATGCCCAGACCACCACCAGTTGAGGTGGTTCTCCTTGTTGAAGTCGCCGGAGGCAATCGAGGATCTAAAGGCGCCATCGAAAACCTGAGAAAATTGCAAGCTGAACTCTTTGTTTCCTACGACCACAAAGCTACGTTCAAACTTGGAATGGAATAGCAGCTCAGTCACCGGGACTATCATGCGGCTGATGCCCCAGCCGTCATATTCAAGAAGCCTGAACTTTGCATCCCCCAGATTGTCAAAGAGGCCCATCACGTCGGTCTTGTGGATTACAATGTACTCACCTGGCCGCTCAGTGCTTGCACACTGGGAGTTGCAGCTAAAAGCCAACAGCGTGCCGGGGCAATCTTCCGCGACCAATATAGAAAATGGACGTAGCAGCCCTACTGTGCAAGACTCTGCCACAGCAGCCTTGCGGCGCCTTGCGCAAATCCGAAGATCGATGCCAAGCTGCCGGGTTTGATGTAAGCTCTTGCGACGTCGACCATGCTGTCTATGTCATTCCACCCACTCCACCACCAGTTTAGCTTGTGGTCCTTGTTAAAGTCATCGGGCCTGTCCTGAACGGCGCCAGCAATCACCTCGGTTGTTTCAGAGAAGCTTGGGCTGCCACACCCCCAACAAACTGAATTGTCTGTTTCCTCCCGCCACTTGCACATGTTGTAATAACTTTTCCCTGCATTTTAAGAGCAACTCAGCCACCGGGACCACCATGCGGCTGTTGCCATAGCCTGTGTATTCAAGAAGCTTGGCCCTTGCATCTGCCAGATTGCTATATCGGCCCACGACATCGGTCTTGTGCACGACCAGGTAGTCACCTGGCCGCCCATTGCTTGCACACTCAGTGTTGCAGCAGACGGTTAACACGGAAACAATCTTTCACCACCCCTTGTCGAACATGGACTTCACAATTGAACTTCTGCCACTGTGCGGCAAACACCCGGAAGCCACAAACAAAGCAATGCCAAGCTGCCGCGTGTGTTGAGTTCGACTAAGTAAGTCTTTGCGACGTCGACCATGCTGTTAAGGGCATCATGCCCAGCCCACCACCAGTTCAGGTATTTGTTTTTGTTAAAGGTGTCGGGGCCGGACTTGACGGCGCCATTGCTCACCTTAGCTCTTGCTGAGATACTTGACCTGACTTGCCATGTCCTTGAAACTGAACTCCTTGTTTTCCATCGCCATTTGCCCATGTTGAATCTTAACCACAACTCAGTCACTGGAACCACCATGCGGTTGTTGCCATCGCCTGTATATTCAAGAAGCTTGGCCCTTGCTCCCGCCAGCTTGTCATATCGACCCACCATGGCTTTCTCGTGGACTACAAGATAGTCACCTGTTGCTTGCATGCTTCCGGTTGCAGCAAGCAGTTAACAAAGCTAACAGTGTGCACGGAGGCAGTTCTTTGCGTCCCATTCATCCCGTTTATACGATTCACTTAGCAGTCGTGCAGTGCAAGATCATCAAAAGAGGACACCTGCTGGGTAAGCTGCTCCTCCCTGCGAGACAAGCTGGCGAACCACTGTGGTTGGGCCCTTCTGCCGCGCCAACCTTCAGCAAAGGACAAAGCAGCCAAGCTGCCAGCTTTGTTTTCTTCGACCATCCATGCTCCTGCGACGTCGACCATGCTGTCTATGTCATCCCACCCACCCCACCACCAGTTGAGGTTGTTGGCCTTGTTAAAGTCAACGGGCCTGTGCTGAACGGCGCCATGAGTCACCTCGGTTCACTCTTAGAAACTGAATTCTCTCTCTTTCCTACCGCGACTTGCACATGTTGTGATAACTTAGCCCTGCATTTTGAGAGCAGCTCAGTCACCGGGACCACCATGCGGCTGTTGCCATGGCCAGTATATTCAAGAAGCTTGACCCTTGCATCCGCCAGGTCGTCATACTGGCCCACAACTTTAGCCTTGTTGACAACCACGTAGATGGTAGTACTTGAAGCGGAGATGTGTATCGCAGCGAGATCTTCATTGGATGCGGAAATGGTTGTCTGTGGCCCGCCTGCCATTCTTGTGCTGCGAGGGCTCTCTATCCGGAAACACATAGTTACACTCGCTTTCATCATCGCCAGGCATCAACGCAACGTGGTGTAAGTAACACTGTCGGAATAACTTACATGCTGTTTCCGTGCCTTTGCTCCAAGGATCTGAAGCAACTTTGGCGCCAGCTGCGAGCACGGCAAGGCGGATAAGGGCGAGGAGAATTCGCATTGCCATGGCAGCCAGTTTCACGCAGGCGACAGACTGAAGACGGAGAACTAGAGCCGGAAGACCAAGTCAATTGCTACCCGTCATCAGACCGAGTGCAAGATCGGTAAGAGCCGGTGATGTCCGAAACCCTGCGCATGATTCCCACATGCGAAGAATGAACAGGTTCCTCATTGCTCATATTAACGCTTCATCCAAGGATGCTCTAGCAGCACCTGAAGTCCTCACCCGTAAAAAACTCCAAACTGCCACGACAGCAGGAGCTCCAAAGGCCTTGCAACTCCAAGCCCCACAAACCACGAGCCTGGAATCCGCAACATGCTGTCGTACAATTTGGAGGTCCAAGCCCACATCAAGCTTCCAGCTCCAGTAGACTCTGGCATTTCGGGGGTGGATGGGGTCTCCAGGCTGAGAAATCTCCATGCCAAGCTGTTTTCGCACGGATGCTCACGCCCCGGGGTCCATAGAAGCGGTCTGCTGTATGTACAAGTCGGTCTTGCACAAGGCAAAGCCACAGGACGCCAGACCTGCATCCTGGAAACAGCCATGCTTGGAGCTTCATGGGTAGTTCTACATCGGGCAGTAAAGTGCCCAAGCGCATGTGTCACAAAAGCTCGAAGTAGACATGAAGCCGATAACCCATTACCCATGACCTCCAAGTAGTGCTTCAGGAAACGCCGTGGAAAGCTCAGCGCAACTGGGGAGCGCACGACTGTCATGAGGGCTCTGTACATGTATGTTCATGTGTACCGGTTTCCAGCAGCAAGGGGCATGAATGCTGATCAGTTCGGAAAACTCTCGCCCACAAACCCTACGCACCTACACCTCACACCCCGTTTAAGTACCCCTTTACATTGAGCATGGCACCTAAGCTTCTAAGCCTGAAGCCTGTGCAAGCATCATGAATAATGGATCGAAAGCCTTAGACCTCCCCCCCACTAAGATCCCTAATTCCCTACTGACGAACCAAGAAGTCATCAGGTCGTTCCCCTCCACGGCTGGCGTACGGCGCGCGCTGCACCTAATCCTCCGCCCCCCAAAAGCAAAAGATCATGCAACTTATGGAACCCTTCAAAGAGGGTCTACTTGCAGTAGGTCAGCTCTGTTGCCGGGGGGGGGGGGGAGGGTTCCGAAACCCCAAGGCCCCTAAATAGCGTCAGGGCAGAACGGGAACACCTACGCCTTCACCCAGTCGTCTTCCGCATCCTCCCGGGAATCCGAAGAACCTTCGGGGTTGTCGAGACAAACGAGGGATCTTCTGCACAGGTGAGGGGTTGAGAGTCGTCTTCTTGTTTCTTGTTGGGGGGGGGGAGGAGCAAGGAGGGGCTAGGGTGAGAGGGCTCAAGGTTCAGGTTTCTGGTTGCCCGTCAGTGCTCCTGATAGGCTTTGGAACATAACCACCCAACTCTAAGCCCTCCCGGCGGGGGGGGGGGGGAAGCCCTCGGGGGGGGAAGCCGATCCTCAATCCTCTGTGTCGGTCGGGCCCCGGGAAATGGACAGTGTGGGGATTGAGCCCATGGATCACAGTGGAGGCTGCACGAGCCCAACCCCCCAAGAAGGACCTCTCCACCTTGAAGCCGCTCCGGAAAGTGACCCCGACCCTGCACCGCATCATGTACCATAAAGAATCATAAAACCTTGCACCCCAAAACAAGACTCCAAGATTTTGGGTGTGTGGACTATCGGGCTGAAAGAAATCAGAAAGCTCAGGGCTTTGGCTGTCTTTGGGTGGCAAAAGAGTCATCCGAGTAGCCAAGTCTGGGTGGCCAGCCCCCAGAGACGGAGAGCTGCGGTCCGGCTGAGGCCTTCGCCATGCCCGGAACCGGCACATTCAAGTCACCACGTCCGATTCAGCCGAGTTGCGCATCATGTGCTGAGGCTTAGGGACTTAGGGGCGTCTAGAAACTGCTAGGATAGGAAGCCACATTGGTCACAAGTACCGCAGCGGCCTTCGGTGGTCCGTGCTTTTAGATTGCCATGGGGTCTCAAACTTGCAAAATGTCCGCTTCGCATTTCTAGTGCACTAAACCCTGAACCCGAAAACAAATTGACCACAACTTGACCCAATGGAACCGCCAGCTCCCGGCAGGCCTCGTCCACCGCTGCCCCCAAGGCACCGCCAAACAGCTGCCTAACAGTTAAGAGAATTCAGGGAAAGACTTGTTGGGGCAGTTAGGGTATCTTGGGGCTTTCTGCTGAGGGCTTCGGGTTTTCAGACCGCCAGGTTGGCCCAGACTTCTCTCGCCTCAGCTCATCTCCTGCAGCAGCCTGGCTGTGGTAGAGGACCTCGGATGTGGGGGGGTGTCCGAAATTAGGGGCCGCTTAGCACCTTACTGGGGGTCCTTTTCATAAGGGGATCCTTATGTGAGGGTCCATATTTTCTTAAAGCCCCATGTTGTTGTCGCTGTTTTCACGGCACGGGGTTGGCTGAGTTTGAGGCGGGTACTTCTTCTGATTGCGTTCCCTGTGGGGGAGCTCAAGCGCCCAAGTTCTGCAAACTCACAGCCACAATACGTGCCGCCGCAGAGCCGTCTCGCCGGGGTGCTCGGATCGGCTGATCTCCATCTCCCGGCGCCCTGTGCAGGTAATCTAGGGGCCCTGATTAAGCAGAATAGGGTTTTGGTGGGGGAATACTCTTAGTAACTACATTCGGACCCCTAGATTCAGCTTTAGAACCATAGAGTTCTTTACCTTGCACCCGGGTGGCTGAGGAAATTCGAAAACGGTAAACAGAACGCTTGTCTCAGGCTGAAGAGACTCATACACCGGCTGGGCGCTTGACAGCTCATCTGGCTTTGCTTTCCATGAAAGGTCGGTGCGGTTGAAGTTTCAGAGCAAAGACAAAAACAAAACACCTAACGCCCCCGGTCCTAGGAACCCAGCTCCCTAGGTTCCTGGGTCCCGCGCCGGGTACCATTTGACCCGCCCGCAGGGACGCATTCAATTCGTCGCGGCTGGTATCTGGGTAGGCGAAGATGCGCAGCTGAGGGCCTTCAAGGCGTGTGTAGGAGGCCGATAACAACGTAGAATGGGCACCAAGTTTGGGGTAGTCACTAAGGGGAGAATTCTTTTATTTAGGCTACTGTGAAATGGCCAAACTAGCAGTCGCAAGAACCTCAGGCAGACTTCAGTGATCCTACGTCTAAACCTGCTCAACCTTCACGTAGATCATTATGATTATTATTATTAGTATTATAGTTAGTAGAGTATCTTCTTATCGACAAAGGAAGGGCATGGAGTTCACTCTGGCCTCAAAGAATCCTACACCCGAGCTGCAATGCAGAAATGGGCAGTACTGATGTCAAGAGTCTTGATTCTTGATGCACTGCTCGGGGAGGTTAGTCCGTAACTTGGCCCCCACAGCGGATCCAAAATCGAGGCTTAAACATAGGAATCCCACAGAGGTTGAAGGGAATGGAGGGAAATATGGATCAGCTCCAGAATTGAGGCTCTCCCTCCCTTCCTCCCAAGATCCAGCACAGGCACACAGCCACAAGGGGATCTGGATCGGGAGGTGTGTTGCCTGGGTGCCCCAAAAACATTGACACATATTGAGAGCATGTTAGCCGAAACAGGCTCCCCTCGCCAGAAAATTCCGCAGAATAAACTCGGAGCTGGAAGCCCCTAAACAAATATTCCATCAGTCCCAGACCATGGCCCATTCACACATCGTCTCTAAGTGCATGCTGGCATGAGTGGACTTTCGGGTTGAAGTTTGGCGTTGGGCCCCTTGGCCTTTATGCAAGGCAGGCAAACAAAAACTTGCAAGCGATTCATGAGTTGATCGAGATCCCCCAGGCCCAAAACCATGAAGGAGGAGTTACGTAGTGCACCTAAGCCACAAACTGCCAGAAGCCCAACGGTGTGAACGCCACAGCCTAGCCTTGGTCACACGCCCGGACCAGCTACCAGCAAACCGTCAAGGCCCAGCGTCGGTCTCCGCAAAGGCCAGCCACTTCGAGACACCCTCGTCGGAGCGCGTGGAGCGCGTGGTTGTAGCTGGGCTCAGATCGGCCGCTTGCCTCTTTATGAGGTTGCTCTCTTGCCATACCCCGAACAGCCATCATGAGCCCGAAACGCACGACGTAGCTCTTGCTCTCATCACAAGAGATCATATAAGCCTTTAACTTGGCAGCCCATAGGCCTTGGGCTTGCACGCTGGCTGCCACGAGCTTCTCGTGGGGAAGAAGGGCCTTTTGAAGGCCCTGTGGCCCCTTGGAAGGATCGCAGCAACCAGAAACAGGTCGTTCAGCGCAGGTGTAGCAAAAGAATTGCAGGGGCTCCACACATCCAAGTGCTGCTTTCAGCCACTAGGGCCCAATAGAGTCTCCCCATGAACCTCACGGCCAGCGCATCTGCTGCCGAGGCACTTGCAGAAGTCTCTCCATCCCGGGCCGACAGGCGCCGCTCGTTGAAGTGTCGCAGTGGCCGACAAATGCCTGAAGGGTGCAGATGGCAGGTTTCTCACAGCACGGGAAGTCCCAGGCAACGTTTTCGGAAGACGAAGCTGGGAGTTTTGGATCGAGAGGGCGAAGATTTCCCAGATGTGAATGACCTCGGCCCTAGGCGAGCCACCGGTCCCTCCCCCCACCAATCAAACGGGTCAAACGAACAAACCACCAACCTCCAGGAAGCCGGGGTGCGATTCTCGCGCTGCAGGCAGGTCGACCACTCTTCTGGTGCTCCGCCTTGCTGGAATTTGTTGGGCGGTCCTCGCTTTTTGTTGCGAGCTTCCTTACAATATGTAGGCCTTACACACATCCCACAAAAAGGGGACCAAGTTGTTTTTGCTGTACAGTGTGTCTGAGGCCGCGACCTGTCGACAAGTAACAATGAGTAGCTGCTTCAGGCTGCTTGTGAATGCAGACAAAATAAGGAAAACGGCGGGATACCGTCAAAACTATCAGATTTCGGGGTCCACTTGTGGCCTAGCGATTTCCTATCAGGGAGACATAGGCTTTGAGCAAGGTTTAGCTTGGAGAAAAATAACCATCTGCTGGTGAATATGCTGACACCTCATGGACCCATAGAAGCCACTAAGGCTTTTCATACCAAAGGCTGCCGGACCAGTTGCATCATGTAGTTCCTCCCGGCAACTAATCTGAGTAGCAGGTTGTATAGACATGTAGAGACGCTCTTGTTGCTAAGGTCAGCACCGTCGCCGCATTCGCCCAAATCTGCAGAAGTGTGGCTGGCAGTTGAAGGTGCAGAGTGAAGCGAATACCTGAGAGCCACAAGCATGCGAGACGAGCGTTCAGAGGTTGTTCATCGGGAGCCCCTATATACCGTGATATACTTCAAAAACGCCCAAAGGCCCATACTTCAGAACCCTTGACAATGTAACTGCCCTGACATTGGATGGCCGATGAAAGCCCAATTGAGGGCCCAAAGCCCGCTATAAAGAGGAACGCAACGTGGCACTAGCGTGATGGGTATTCGCGACGCAACTCATGCAGTTTGCCTGTCAGTGCACAGAGCTGACTGGATATCACTCACCTTCAGCACCTGACGTGTACCATGGACGCTGCTTGTACCCTTGTGCAAAAGGAGCACACTGTGAGGGAGCCCGCCCGTGTGGCGACGTAGATCCAGGGCAGCGACTGTCCGGCAGCACCACCCCTGTGTCGAGAATGAGCGCGCTTGCGTATATAGGACTGCGGAAGTCCTGCTTACAGCCGTCTTGGGTAGTAAGTCTATTGCACAGCATCCAAGCTTGATGAGGGCGATTGGCAGCAACAGAGACTACATGATTTTACGTGATGCTGAGGCAAGCCACTTACCAGACTTACGACCCCCCATTGCCAACAGCAAACGACACCTGACACTTGTTCGTGCCTGCCCGAACGAGGCATGAAGAAGGAGCTGTGGGGCATTAGACCCTCTTGCAGTAGGACAGAGCCCAGCCGCACGCGCGTGCAAACGCTGAGGTTCACCTGGCATGCCAGAGTCATCAGATAGTGAATAATTAGTGAATACCATCACACACATGCACAGGAAAAAAGAAGATGCGTGTCAATGCATATGAACGGCACTCTGTGCTTGTGCTGCAGTAATGGATGCAAGATGGGGTCGCATTTCAAGCGTGCCTGTCATTTTACGTTTTGGCATCAGATATCTGTGCTTCACGTCTCTGGGTGTCACTTTGCAAACTTTCAAGACTGTAGGTATAGCCCAAGAACAACATGTGTAACTGAAAGCAGAAGTTCAAGGGGTGTGCTCCATCAACTTCGGGGTGTCCCTTTTCAAGTGTTCCCATCATCGCTTTACAGGGTTTTGTTCGTGTCCGGCCCGTGCTTACTTGAAAGGAAGGGAGTACTGCAGCTCAGATCCTGACAGCAAAGAGCCCCATACCCAGGGAAGCTCTCCACGGCTCGATTCGCAATGCAAAACTGAACGGCATCTGGGCGTCTGGGGATGTCTCAACTTTTTGGGCCCATCTCGAATTCGCTCATTACCCCGATTTCTAGCTCACGAGTAAACCAGAAATAAACATCCTTGCTTCCCCGATGCAAGAAGAAGCACAAAAAGCACGGCAGGTCACCGGATTGTGGTTGACGCCAGGCACTCCAGGCACCACCACGGCCCCTGTCTCCAAGAGCTGATGCCTTTGTTCTCAAGTCTGATTCACGGGCCTTCTCGGATCTCTGGCCACCCCCCCAAAAAAGCGAAGAGTGGTGGGGCTGGGGGTGGGGTATTCGGGCAGTAGAACTTTTAAATTCCGTTGCCTTGACCGTTCAAAAATCTGCACAGAAGATCCACGAAACCCTGCAAGCCTGAGATTTCTCAGAAGGCAGCAGTCAAGGTGCCGGTGCGAGTGGAAAGAGGGCAAGCGGAATACGTGCGTGGTTCCCTGCGGAGACTAGTCGGAGGCCAAGGAGGATACGGGCGAAGGGATTGTCATTGGGGCTTCGCAAAGTTCAAGCTGCTACCATAGGGGATGTGTGCGTGTGTGTGTGACGATTCTGTGCGTGTGAGAGGAATCTCCGAGGCTTGTGTAGAACGTGATGAGAGCTTTCGGGGTTGTAGGGCGCAGGGGTCCAGTCTAAGAATACAATGTCTGAAGTGGCAAAGAAGCCTGGTCTACCCTGAGCCTGCAACCTTTCACCGGCAAACAAAAATCATAAGCCACATGCATACATCCCATCCATGTTTCAACCCGCACCTTGGCAGAGGACACAGCAACAAATTGGCTGTCGTCGGAAATCGCGATGTTGCCTCTGTAGCCACTGGTGTCACTACAGTAACTAGGATGGCCCATACCCTCTGAAAAATTTCTCTAGATATGATCCTCTTAAACCCAATAAGGGAAAATATAAAATGCCCCAAGGGCCTACCGAGGTAAGGTAAAGTGAAACGCTTATGTTATGCCCAGGGCTGCCTTATAGGCTCTTGCCCTCAATGAAACGCAGGATTCGGCAGTCGCACCTAACTCACGGCGTTACCCTTTTCCCCCAATGAACGCACCCGCCTGTGGATTCACAAAACACGCTTTGGCTGACTAAATCATGCCTGTCTCTAGGGAATCTGCATCTGCAGGAAATGGAAAACAATGAATAACAACAAACAAAAACCCAGTGAACGCAAGTATCAGCGACCGGCTTGCAGCTAGCTACCCACGCCCGAAAAATCGTGTACCCAGCGCTGATCTTCTCGTAGCCCGCGTCCGGTCAACCACATCCGAAAATGGCGTAGCCTTTCGAAGCCTGCGGCTGCGGATATCAAGTTGATTTTCGAGCCTGTGGCTGGACGCGTGCACCCGAGAACCGCGTAAGCCACGCACCGAGCGTTGATCTTCGAAGCCCGAGCTGGGGTTACGGAGTTTCGGGCTTGGCCAGGGTAAAGCTCGAACTCAATATGACGCACGCGCGTAACCTCCGTGTATGGCGCGTTTCGTGGTGCAGTGCCAAGCGTGCCAAAAACCGCCAGTCAGTGGCCCAAACACCTAATGCTTGTTGGAGCAAGGGGATTCGTTCCCAAGTGTTCGTCTCGAGCCAGCACATTTGAGGATTCGGGGGGGGCTTGTAAGAGGCCCCAATCCGAAACGCTCTTTCTGAATCTAAGTGGTCTATATGGGCGAAGGTTCAGTATCCTGTTCAGTCCTTTCGGAAAAATTTCTAACACCGCGGAACTGCAGCAACTTATGTTATGTTTTTCAGATGCATGTGAGTACGGTGCCACACCAGTGTGTGGCTTCAACGACACAGTGTGTCTACCCCTGCATCCCCAACCCAGCAGAACCCGCCCCCTTCCGAGAGATCCATGGGCTAGGCCCAGGCGGTCGACGCGCACCGTTTGCAAGTATATTATAGTACATTATATTATAGTATATTCTAATATATTTTTATTTATTATAATATTCGGCATATTATCGTATATTATAGCATATATTCTGGTATACTATAGTATATTATGGTATATCGTCTTGTCCAGTTCCCCTTTCGACCACAACCAAGCTTCTGATGACAGCAGGGGTGACACCGCGGGAGAGTGTGAAGACGTGCTGGAAGGTAAGGCTGCCCAACTGCGGCCCATCCTCACTTTGCAGGGCTTGGGGATACTTGGATCGCTGAAGCATTTCTGGGTTTCGTCACTTCTGCTGCATAGAGGCGTGTGAATGGAACCTTTTAGGCCAATAATCGGACATGGGGCTCCCTGGCCCTTCGCACTCCTCCCCTCCACAGCTTTCTCTCTTCTGAGCGACGACATGAATACATTCATCCCTTAACCCTAAACCGTAAACCCTAAACCCTCGGGGTGTCCTTCACCGAGTCCAGGGTAAAGGCATGCCCAGTTCCCAGCACTGCTCGGTGCACCAGAATTCGATGCCCAAGCGTGGCGCAGGTCACCTCAAGCTCGAGCCCTGAACCCAGAAAACCACAACCCTTGGCCCTTGACAACCTGGAACTTAACCTTTTCTTGGATTGGTGAACTAGTTTTTGCCTTCGCTGACAAGAGCTAGGCGTTCCTTTGGAGACTGAAGGCCCAAGTTCGAGGGTGTGGGATTCGGGACTTCAGGACAAGGGCGAGGGCGGGTTTGCTTCAGGGATGTTCAGGCATGGCGTGCATTTACCTTAAAGCGACTGGAAGGTTTCAGGTCTTCTGGGGCCCCACTCTCCCTCATTACCACGACCTGTGCTGCATCCACATGGTAGGCTGCTCAGAAGCTCTTTCCTAAACTAAACTTCGGCCAGCGCCACCAGCTGTAGGCCGGAAGGGTCCCACACCATGGACTCAACAGCCTCAGCATGGTCCTCCCGGATTGAGTTTAAGGGGGAGGAGGGCTGTTGGTTGGGATGGGGATTGTCGTACTGTTCATAAAAAGGGGTAACATCCCAAGTAATAGGGTTAACGTGAAGAAGTGAAGTTGAACTCAGAGCCAGGAGTCTCATCCCCATAGTTGCTCCGAAAGATCCCTGGACACCAACTGCCCCAAGCCATAAGTCCAAACAAAGTCCCGAGAATACCTACTTTCACATGCCACACACACATATCAAAATAGAAATGAATGAATAAATCCATGAGTAAGTACATGAATATGAATATAAAAGAAATTCATATCTAAATATATATCTATCTATCTATATAGGTACCATATATGCTACCCCCCCCCCATGCGCCCATGCTTCAGCATGGTTTCCAGAGAAAAACACTATGTTCCGCCATGCGCGGTGGCTTTTAAAGGGGCGAGGGACTCCCATAAAAACTCCAGCAGAAGTGACCTGAACAATTTGCTCGAGATTGTGGATTGCATGCTATGAATTTAAATAGAAATCCTATGCATGTGAATAGCGTTCCTATCAAATTTAATGGGGTTCATAGGATTCATCTTGTTTTCATAGGAATCTTATTAAAATGAAAAGGAAACCTTTAACATGAATGAGAGTAAATTCTATGGGAACCCTATTCAAATGACAGAACCCTATTTAAAATTGATAGGAATCATATTACATTTGTAGGAGCCTTCTTAAAATAATTAGGCAAACTATGAAAATTTGTTGGAAACTTATAAACAGAAAAATAGGAATCCTGCAATGAAATCCATATGAACCTTTTTAAAATTGATCGGACTGTATAAAAGTTAATAGGAAGCCTATTAACATGAATAGGAACCCGATCAGAGCCTTATTAACCCTATGAAACTTTATTGGCATCCTATGAAAATAAGTATGAATCTTTCATTGAATTCATAGGAATCCTATCAAATTGTTTTCGGAGAACAGCTTCTAGGAAGCCTATTAGAATGACCCTTAACAAATCAAAAAGAACGCGGTGGTAATTCATAGGAATCTTACTGAAAGGAGAAGGATTCTTATTAAGATTAATAGGAACTAATAGGGCTCCTATGAACAAAATAAGATTCCTTTTAACAAGAATTAATAGAAATCCTACTAAATGAAGATGAGCCTAAACCAATACGAATCCCTTTCAAACGAATTTGATCCCTATTAAAATAATACGAATCCCATTAACATGAATAAGGACCCTACAATTGATAGGAATCTTACTACATTAGTAGAAGCCTTATTAGAATAATTAGGAACCCTATGAAACTTGATTGGAATCCTATAAAATAAAACTAAATAAATAGGAATCCTCTATTGAAGTCGTAGGAATCCTGCCAATACTTTTCGGAACCGATAACAGTTAATAGGAAGCCCATGCATAGGAACCCTGTCCAAATTGAAAAGAACCGGATATTCCTGTTAAAATGAGAAGGAATCTTACTAAAATGAATAGGAACCAATAGGACTCCTGTATGAAATTATGTGAATCCGCTTAAAAGATTTGTTTGTTTTGGGACAGTATAGCGCTTTTTGCAGTCCCAGGCCTCCAAAGTGCTGTACTGTCCCAAAAAAACAAATCTCTTTAAGCGAAAACAAGCAAAAATGCTGTACTGTCCCAAAAAAACCAAAAACAAAAAAACAAAGTTTGGAGAGCTTGGGCTCCTCCAGGCCTGGAGGTCTCCAAACTTTTGTTTTTTTGGTTTTTTTTGGGACAGTACAGCATTTCTGCTCGTTTTGGCTTAAAAACATTGGTTTTTTTGGGACAGTACGGCCTTTTGCGGTCCCAGGCCTCCAAAGTGCTGTACTGTCCCAACAAAACAAATCTTATTTAAGCAAAAAGTGAAAAAAATGCTGTACTGTCCCAAAAACAAACCAAAAAAAACAAAGTTTGGAGAGCTTGGGCTCCTCCAGGGCCTGGAGGTCTCCAAACTTTGGGTTTTTGGTTTTTTGGGACAGTACAGCATTTTTGCTTGTTTTCGCTTACAAGGATTGGTTTTTTTGGGACAGTACAGCGTTTTTGCTCTTTTGGGCCTAAAACATTGGTACAGTAGAGCGCTTTCGTGCTCGCTGCCCTAGGAGGCTTCGAAATCCTAAGCCTCTAAACCCTACCATTGCACCTGAGAGGAAAAAGTGTGAAAAAGTGTGGGCATAGGGGCCCCCCCAGTGACCTACCCTTTTTCGCCTTGTCTCAAGTCACCCAGCTGCACTGCAAGCAAACTCGGTGTGCAATATAGCGTATTTCCTAGGGCGTAGACTAAAATACAACTAAAATCGCATACACGGGACAGTAGAAAAACCAAAAATACCAAAACCAAAAAAACCAAAAAAACCAAAACCAAAAAAAACCAAAAAACCAAAACCAAAAAAAAACAAAAAAACCAAAACCAAAAAAAAACAAAAAACAAAACCAAAAAAAACCAAAAACACCAAAAAGACCAATTTTCCGGGACTCTCAGGAAATCCCTATGAGGCTTCTCCAAGAGTCCCGGAAAATTGTTTTTTTTGGTATTTTTGTTTTTTTTGGTTTTGGTTTTTTTGGTTTTCTTGGTTTTGGTATTTTTGGTTTTTTGGTTTTGGTATTTTGTCTTTTTGGTTCGCCTTCACGGTCACGAGGCAACAACTACGCATTTTTAAGTGTGCTTATGCTAATTGTGCTTTTCAGAAATAGTATACAAGTGGTCTTTCTAATGCTTCAGAACTATTTGTTTCGTTATTATGTAAGTAGAGCCGCTAGTGTTTAGTGCATCTTTTGGTTGTACTCAAGTGTAGTGGACCTTATTCAGCCATTACTTGGTGCTCTGGTAGCTCAATTCGCATGGATAATATTTGCCTGGTAAATGCGATTAATTATCTAGAAGCAGCATTTGCAATACTTGTCTTAAGAAAAAGCATTAATTGCTTAGAATTGTTTGCTTAAAAAGTGACTCCTACTCGTCCAGGAATACCCCCAAACCCTATAATCCAAACTTTACCAGAGATTCTCCTGAAAAGCTTGCGCTTTTGGATGTTTTTATGTATTTGTGAATTTGCTTGTGTATGGCCTTCACTAAGTACTTTTCTAGGATTCTTGTGCATTTTTTAAGCCTGATTGTGCAAGTTGCGTTTTTCAAGCATAGTATATATGTGGTCTTTATTGAATACTTCAGACATCTTTGTTTCATCGTTATGTAAGTAGAACCGCTTCTATTTCCATTATTGTGCATTTTTAAGCTTGCTCATGCAAATTGTGCTTTTCAGACATAGTATATAAGTGGTCTTTAGTGAATACTTCAGCAATCTTTGTCTCATTGTTATGTAGGTAGAACCGTTTCCATTTCCGCAAGTGTTTATTTCGTATTTGGTTGAGTATGGTCCTTTAAATAGTATTCACTTGAGTCAAATTGGGCTATTTGCTTAAGAATTCCTCTAGTAGTTAAATTCGCATAGAATGAATACTTCAAAAAAATTGTTTCATGAATATGTAAACATAAGGTGTTTCATTTGACTTTGCAGATAGTACTTCAATGATGCTTTGCCTGGTATAAACACAACTGTTTCAATGCATTAGTTGCTCAACAAAGCACTATTTGCCCTTTAAACCACACTTTGCCATATTTTGGTTGAATATGGTGCTTCTTTCGTATTTTGGTTGAGTATGGTCCTTTAAATGGTATTCACTTGAGTCAAATTGGGCTATTTGCTTAATAATTACTCTAGTAGCTAAATTCGCATAAAATGAGTATTTCAAAAATAAAAACGATTCATGAGTATGTCAACATAAGGTATTTCAGTGGACTTTTCAGAGAGCATACTTTGCCTAGTACAAACACAATTGTATAAATACAGTATTTGCACTTTAAACGCACACTTTGCGGTTGAGAATGGTGTTTATTTCGTATCTTGGTTGAGTATGCTCCTTTAAATAGTATTCACTTGAGTCAAATTGGGCTCTCTGCATAATAATTACTCTAGTAGCTAAATTCGCTAGAACCAAGAAAAATGTTCCACTATTTGATTAATACTTTGCGTCGTACAAACACAATTGTATAATAAATTGGTTGCTCAACAAAACATTAATTGCCCTTGAAACGCACAATTTGCATAGAAAAACACTGATCTAAACATCTAGAAACGGCATTGTCCGCTTCAGATTCAAGATGTAGATTCTTCCAATGCTGGCTTATCGGGGTCTGTGAGGTGGGTGTCCCAGTAACTGTCCTTCATTACCCGGTGATTAACTACGCGACTTTTGGGCCTTCTTTGTTATGTTTTGTTAAAAAGGCCTAAAAAGGCCTAAAAAGGGTAGGTCGCTGGGGGGGGGGGGGTAGCATATATATATATATATATATATATATGGTACCCCCCCGGGGTACCATATCTATATATATATATATATAGGTAAATGTGTCTATAGTTCTATACATGCATGCATGGCAGGTATACAAGCGGTGGCATGTACACAGACAGAGCAACAAACATCACAGCCCAGAGGACCAACGTAACAGGTCACCCCGCAGGACTGGACGCAGAATGGTCTGGAGTCTCGCTGCCTCAAACTGGGAGATGACGGTCTGCGTCTCCACGTCGCGCACCTTACAGTTGGCATTTAGCACTGTCAGCACTTGTGGCGACTTGAGTTGGGAGTTGGTCCATCGGGATTCAGGGTGTCGTAGCTTCACAACATGCAATCGGAATATATCACTGCACCTACTGAGCAAATAAGGAGATGCCGAGAGAGAGAGAGAGAGAGAGAGAGAGAGCGGCGGGGTAGGGAGGGAGGGAGGGAGGGAGGGAGGGAGGGAGAGGAGCCAGGAGAGAGGAGGTGGCGATGATGGACAGTGGAGCAAGAAAGGGAGGGAGGGGGGAGCGAGAGAGCCGTTCCAGTAGACAGATTCTACATCTCAGCATCGTGGCCAGAGAGCCTATGCAAGCTCCACGGGTCGCGAATCCAAGTTTCCCTCTTCTAAGCTACAGCTACTACTGGAGCTGGGGTGCATACCTCGGCTGAGGTCTTCTGAGACAACTCAACCCCCCTCAAAAAAAAAAATATATATAAGAAATAAAATAGCTGTTTCAGCCTGCGCACCGCGACGCTCCCACTCCGCAGGCTTGTCGACTGGGAGGCCACAGACTCAGGGGCCGTTGCCGGCGGCATGAGCACCTGGCCAGCCAAGAAAAGTAGTGCAGTGTTCGTGCGGCTGAATAGTCCGGGTTGAAGATTCGGGTCTCGCAGATTCGGCCAATTGCTTTGGTGAACAGGGCGTGGTTTCGCAGGTGCAGGGTCCGGCGTGCCAACAAACGCATCCGAACCCCTTAAATAATCTAACCCCCTCCCCCCCCCCCAGGACCCTGAATAAACTAAAACCCAAACAGTCCCCCACCCTGGAAAGGTCGAGGCTTCAGGCTCCTTCTCGAGAAAGCTTATGCCTTCCTGAAAACCGAAGGACTCAGCCCCATAAAAACAAGTCACGGCCCGAACACTTTTCATTATAGTGTACCCCCCAAACAAAAGGCCAAAATCCTGAATAGACATTTTCTTTTCGTAATAGCGTCCCCCTAGACTATTGCGGGTGCAACATTAAGCTCCTAGGGTCAAGAAGCCTTTGCTGCACTGTCCCTGGCCTGATCCAGAGTACGCTGGCCCACTTGGCCCAGATACTCCAAGCCGTCCTGACCATGCTCCATAAAACAGACGTAGTGGACGCTGTACTCATCTTCCTGATAACCTTACATCATGATACAGCTATACAGAGGAATACAACAAGAAGAACAGACATTTGTATGCCTCTGTGCTCTTTCGGATGTTAGGAACGGGAGGGACTTCCGGCTATCTCCGAATACCTCGGATTCATGTAGCCTCACCCTGGTCTGGCCCCAGGGTTGCTGCTTAGAACATCCGAAGTCGGATCAACTCGGCCACTGTGTCGTCAACCCGTGCTGCTGGCACTTGGACCCCTTTTGCTAGGCCCCTCCAAGCTGCCAAAAACCGCCCTGGGATGCCTTCACCACCGCAGGAAGTCGTGGTTTCCCTGGCAGCCCTGCAACGTGGGAAGCTCAGGGTGCAGGTAGGGCTTGGCCGTAGCAAGAAACCGATGTGTATACGGCTAGCAACCCGAACGCAGTCGCCTTGGACGACTGCACTAGAATGAGGTGCACAGAAGAAACTTGAATTGCACAAACAAGAACCCTGAACAAAGATTCGGGCGGCGCTAGATTCCCGCAACTCTCGACTCATCAAGTCGATCTCTGCCACCACGACTCTGCACAGTCCCCTCGCGGCGAGCTAAACATGCTGCAAGACCGGCGGTTGAGTTTTGTACTCCGAAGCTCCCTTAAGAAGCATCCTGATCCTTCAGAGGCCAGTTCGGCCACCAGAAGCAGCGCACTCAGAACAGGAACTGCCAAACAAGCTCATCGTGTCCAAAAAAGCCACAAGCAAATCTATTGGTCACAAGGCTTGTCTGACTTGGCAGCATGTGCCTGAGTTCCAAATAGTAAAGATTCAAACATGTGGGGGCGTTTGCGGTGGAGGCATCATATCCCTTCTTCTTGTCAGTACTTCTTGTCGAGACAAAGGACTACATGAGGCTATGAGGGACCTGGGGTGCTGCTAGCCGCGGCGGAGCGCGCAGTTCTCGCACCGAAGGACGCCAAACACATCAGGATCATCCCTGCAGGACATGCCTCTCTTTTGGGAACATGTCATGCGTCAGGAACATGAATGTACCAGCATGATCTTGGAAGCACTGGCCGCCCCATGGCGGCTGTGTGCACCTAATTCACCTAATGATTAAATTTATTAAATGGCCACTGGCACGCCCGTCGGACGGCAGGTTGCACCAACAGAACAATCAGGCGCACGAGCTGAGACATGAGAAAACCTCTACAATACCACAGCCTGGGAATGATCACGCGAACAGCTCGTGGCCAGAGAAAAAACATCTAAAACATCTCACTGTCAGGGAACAGAAACAAGGCATGCTGACAGGGACTGCTCTCAATCAAAAAGGCCATTCACGCGCAATCGGCGAGGCTTTTTTTGAATCATGAAAGGCACTCTGTGTCATCTGCATTCAAGATCTTCTCGATGCGGAGACGCACCGCTTCGTGGCGGCCAGCCGTCAGCTGCCCCAGTCCAGAAGGCCCAGAAGCTTCGCCCCTTTCGCGGTCGTTGTTCGCCTTTGCAGCAGAGAGCTGTTGGACACCCCGTAGACCAATCTGGGACCCCTCAGCACAGCACTGTGCGGGGATCTCGATGACCTCGTCTGCGATGGCGAAGTTGACGCGGGGATAACAGGAGGAGTACTCCAATGAGTCCAAATCGATTCTCTCCTGGTTGATAATGCAGAGTGCACGTTGCTTGCCGTGAGTGCCAAGGCGTTGATGCTTGCGAGGTGCAGCTGGAAACTTGCGTGGCGTCATGGGAACCTCCGGAGTGATCATAACTCTGAGTCTCAAGGATCTGATCAACGGAGGCGTCCCTGTCCACACAGCCAATGGCACTTTGGGGCTTAAAAAACTCCTAGCTGCAAGGGACAAAGTCCTTGAGCCCTTGAGCTGTGGCCAAAGGCATGTACAGCTCTGACGTCCGGCGTCTGAGATTCTCGGCGGGCTGATTTATCGTTCTTTCGCGACTCAATCCTGGGCATGCGACAGCATAGTGTCCACATATCACTGCAACCCGATTCATGCGAGATGGTCAAATCCCCGCCTGGCTGGGGTGCCACATGGCTGCCACCTGCAGCAAGCAAGCCATGGAGGGTTTCGGTCTTGGGGCCTATTCCTTAACATTTCTCGCCCGAACAGTTGCGAGTTTCGCGGGGCCGGTGCACATGCAATATGACCGAAGCCGAAATCGTAAGCCTTCAACACAATCACAGTCCTTGCATATAATATGCAGGTTAAGGCTGCTGGCACACAGAAGGATGAAGTGAAGATTGAAGGCCTATAGAAATGCAGGCAGGCTCGACTTTGCTATCAGCACCCAGGGTGGACTGAGGCGGTCCTGTACTCACCATCACATGCGGCGGCAGGTTGTAGGCTAGCCAGCCTCAATCACTAGATGGCCTATACCCTAAAACCCTATGCGGAGCTGCAGTTGGTATTGTAGAAAGGAGTTGATGTTGGAAGGTGAAGGGGTCAATGTACCCGGTACTAATTTTTGGCTCAAGGAACTTGGGCATGCGCCCTGAAGAAAGAAGTGTGTGTTGGTTTTGGGTTGGTTTGTTGTTTGTTGGTCCAGGGGATCAAGGGCTTCTGTTGGGGTTGACTATCTTGTTCCCTGTCCTCCTTCGGTTGCCCCCCGTAGGTTATGAGCCCAAATTAGGTTCCCTGCGGTTTGCGTTCGGGCTTTAGGGTGAAAGTTTGAAGCCATGGCGACCAACTGGTTACGGACTGGTGCGGCATCATCGAGCTCCAATGTGGGCGACCAAGGTGAAGGTGGTGTCAAAAGGTCTGCAACGGGTGAAAAAGTTGTTCCCAATGTGGAAGCTCTGGTTGATGTTGGTGGTATGCGTGGCGAAGAGAAGCCGGTGGTGGAAGGACTGGAAGCAGTTTTGCTGCGCCTTCTGAGCAAACATGGGCATCTTCTTCGAGCTGCGGAATCTGCTGAATCAACGGGAGCGCCAACAACAAGCTCCTCTACGTCAAAGATGGCGGAGCAAGGGTGCCAGACAGAACTGGTTGGGGATGTTATCCCTGTTTCCAAGCGAGCTCGCAACAAAGTGAGTTTCGCGGCTGAAAGTGGTGATCTGTTGACAGGGAAAGCGGAAGAAACTGCGCCTGTTGCTGCGACAAAAAGCAGTATCCTCGTCGTTGAGGACGCAGAAGGAGTCGTTCCTGTTGCTATGGTGATGAGCGAAGGAGAAATCCTGGAATTGGAGGCAGCGAGAATACAGCAAGAGTCAGATGAGGACTTATACGCTGATGGTGGAGGCAAAGTGTCTCAAGCTGCTGACCTTCCAATCATCGACTGCGATGGGAAGACATGGGAACGCCATTTTCACGAGGATGGGAGAGAATATCTTTACTGCTTCGACACGGGAGAAACCCAATGGGTGTTGCCGAAGAAGACTGGGATGGCTGGAAACAGTGAAGGGTCTGGTGTTGGAATGGGCATTGTCCCTGTGGAAGAAGAGCCAGCACTGGGTACTACTTCGTCCTCGTCGCCTACTGAGTCCTTCAGGGCACAACAGGGTAGCATGGAAAGTGTCAACAGCGGTGTAAATAGTGTAGGTGAAAAGGATTTTTCCTCTACTATCAGGGATAGCGGTCTTAGGGCTGGTGGTGACGCCCCGACCTCGGGTTCTCCTGATGAGGAAGGGAATTCTGGAATCCGAGCAGACATCGTTGGAGAACATCTGGATCAGGAAGAAATGGAAGCGCTTTCTGAGGGTGTGGCAGCGGTGGAATCGGTGGGTCCAGAGGAAAAAATGCCCAATGTGGAGATCGGAACTGTGTCGGCTGCAGAAGAGAGAGTGGTGGATGTGGTACCTGTCGTTCAGGAAGGTGGTCCTGGAGATTTGGAGGACGGAGGGAAAAAGTTGTGTGTTACGACTGAGGAGGTCTCTTCGTTTGGTGCCAAGAATCTTGCCATTCAAGGAGAAAAAGAAGCTTCTGGAATAGCTGGAGACACGAAAGATCTGAAAGATGAGGCCTGGAGCGCCAATGATGCGCGGGTCAATGCGCCAGATAGTACCTGGAGTGCGGAAGAGGCACGGGTTGAGGTGCATATGGTGTCACGTTCCACGGACGACTGCAACAATGGGGCGCAGGTCTCCGCAGCAGCTGATGACGGAGGTTCACAGGTGGACGCACTGGTGCAACCTGAAGTTAGCCGCGAGGAACGAAATGGCAAGGGCTACACCGGAGCCGATGAGGCAGCTGTGGTCAATGATGGTGGCAATTCTCCTTTGGAAACCATGGAGCCAAAGGAGCCTGCGGTGGAAGAAAATGTACCTGCCGTGGATGAGCAATTCAATAGCCCTGCAGTGGAAGAAAATTTGCCTGCTGCAGAAGGCGTGTCAAAAGACTCCAATGATGGGTCCACTCCCATGAAGGGGGAAGTATTGCCGTCTGGAAGCTCGCCGGAAGTCGACACCGAGCGAACTGCAGCAGATGAGGCAAGGCCCTTGGCTGGAAAAAAGGAAGGTCCTGAGCCCCTGGAGCACAAGATGGATGATCTTGTGGGACTCGTGCAGGAGCAGGACGAGCAGTGTGACCCAAAGGTGGAAACAAAGGATGTTCCAGGAGCCGATGATACAGAGATGGTTTCTGAAGAGCATGCAAGGGAAGTGCCCCGAGCGGGAGCCTTGGAATCACCTGGGGAACATTGCTATCAAGAGGGAGATGAGATCGTTGGTCTAGTGCGCTGCATCAATGGGTATGGAGCCTTTTTGGACCATGGTGATGTGAATGTACTGGTTCCTGCAGAAGGGAACAACGCACATCAGTTCAAATTTGGTGATACTGTCAATGGAACAGTGAAACGAGTGGAAGATGATGGTACCATAATCTTGGACACCTTTCTGGTTTTGGAAGAGGACGAGGAGGACTCTTCTTCGACGCTGCGCAAATGGAAATCCAGCGGCTGGAGTACGTGGTGGACAGATTCATGGTATGCTGGTCAATGGTACCAAGATTCCAACAGTCAATGGGACTGGAAACAGGAGGAAGAGCAATCCGATGAAGGGTTTGCTGATCAGGAGTTATCCTCAGAAGAACGAGAGGAAAGGCAACTTTATGGAGAAAAGACCTATAAAGCTCTTCTTGAGGATGGGAAGGCTGATAAGGCCTATGTGGGCAAAGTCACTGGGATGCTGTTGGGTCGCCCAATGGAAGAGCTACAGGAGTG